TTCATATTTCATACGGGCCTCTCATAATCCATACTCAATCCATCTTCCCTCTTATTTGTTTTCTCTTCCCCCTCCTTTTTTTTTTTTTCTTTTAACCTGTTTAATCCTTTTAAGTTCAAGGATTTGAAAAGCAAATACTATAAAAGATGAAAGGTGCGTTGGAGGAAATCAACTTTGATAAGAGGCTTTTATGGCTTGTAAACCTTATTCCGGCCCTTTGGCTTGAAAGGCAGCACTAATTTTAAGAGCCTTATGCAAGCCTCACAACGAGCTTCAAAAAAAAAAGTGCATCAGCCTGGAGATGATGGGCACCTGGCTAAGGGGCTTCCCATCACCACGTGCTGCAGGCTGGCCCATAGCTGGACCATCAATAACAGCATGGCCATGGACTTTTAAGAGCTCAAGAAACAGCCAAAGGAACTTTTTAAAGAGAAAAAACACCCCCTAAATATTAAAATTAACGGCACAGCCTTGAATAAATTGCTGTTGTGATTCCCTCCTGAAAGCAAAGCTCTGCTCCCCCCACCCATCGCTCCGGAGCGGGGCAGCGCATCCCCAGCGGCTCCACACCGTGGGACCTCTGCCCCAGGGAGAGCAGCTTTGGAAGTGTTAACCAGCCCCAGCCCCACTCCATGGCCAGGCTTCAGCTTCTCCCATGGCCAGGACCGGGGGCAGTGAGGTCACAGTTTGGCAGAGCCGCTCCTGCTCCGGGCGGAAGCGCGGAGAGCGCGGTTGCGTAAGAGGAGTGTTTGGGGACGGAGATGTTTGACAGGGTAAACACACGACTGGACTGCCTTGGGTGCTTGAACACACGCCACAGGGCTGGAAGGGGAATGGCTGAGCACGGACCCAGCTCAGGACAACACCTCTGAGGGGTGAATGTCCCGTCCCAGGGCCCAGTGCTGAGGTTGGGAACGAGGAGCCCCTGGGGCTGGGGCCGCCACCCCCAGTTATCAAAGGGTGCTGCAGAGTGGAATCACTTCTACATGGTCTCTGGCACCACTCAGGGCAAACACAGAATGTCCTCTCTCCTTCGACAACAGACAGAGCCATAGAAACATTCAGGTTGGAAAAGACCTCCAAGATCATCAACCTGTGCCCCATCCCCACCTTGTCCCCCAGCCCAGAGCACTGAGTGCCACAGCCTTGGACACCTCCAGGGATGGGGACTCTACCACCTCCCTGGGCAGCCCCTTCCAATGCCCGACCACCCTTTCCAGGGAGAAATCCCTCCTGATGTCCAGCCTGACCCTCCCTGCCAACTTGGCTCCTGCACTGCTCCAAAATGTGCTGCTGGGGGCTGGGAAATCACCTGGGGAGCAGTGACTGCAATCATCCTCACCTACAGGACTGCTGACACAGAGACAGGCTCAGGGCTAATTAGCATCATGTGGGAGGCTCATGCAAAGCATTATTATACAGGAGATCAGCTGCAGTCCAGACAAGGGATATCCTGAGGAGATGGAGGCTGGTTCCCTGGGACACTTCCTAGGGGAGCAGGGAGGTTCAGCAGTGGCTGAGAGACCAACCCACAGGTGAGGAACTCCCCTAATATCAGATAATCACCTTTCAGATACAGGCTGGACACTCTTTTTAGGTGCATGACAGGTTTGAATTATTTTAGTGACATTTACAGATTCCTGTGGTCCCTGGAGCAGGCCAGAGTTATCCCCATCACCTGTGGCCACATATTCCGTGCTGTTTCCACATATCCCCAGAGCTGGAGAGGAATTTGTTAATCAGCTCTGAAATTTCACCTTAAATTTGCATCAAGAGCTACCACACACACACACACAAAAAGGGAAATAATAAAAACTCTGCACAGTCACCGTAAGCCTTTTCCAGCAGGATCTGGGTCAGGTCCTGCATGTGTTTTTGGGGCTGTGCAAGCAAACACAAAGAAAAGACAATGCTTTTTCAGGCAAGGCCAGTGCAGGGCAAAGACCTGGAGCCCTGGATGCAGCAGCTCGGCCGTGGTGCCAAGGGAGGTCAGAGCAACGAGCTCCAACGCTCCGGGCAGAGGGAGCGGCCTGATGGACCCAAACTAATGGGATCTCTGGAGTTCTGCACGTAGCCCCTGCTGCTGCTGGAGCTGCTAATGAGCAGCACAGTCCGTGGGACAGCCTGAAACCCGGGCTCTGCAACGGGGAGCAACAGCCAGTTTTTAACTTCCAACGTTACCCAGACTAAAGAATCCAGACGGGTAAAGGGTGGGAGAAGGTGTGACAGGCAGAGAGGGCAGACTTAGGGAGCTAAAGGGATTCACCCCAGCTGCCAGGTGGGGACTGAAGGAAGGATTTCTGGACCCCAGAGCCGTTTGATCCCAAAGCCCCTCACGCGCCGCTGCCATCGGGAACTGTTCCTACACAAAGGCAAATCCAACTGCAGATCTGATCCATCCCCTTGCAAGCACCAACCCAAATGTCATCACAAACATGGCATGGGAGCACTCTGCTCGCCCCAGGGAGGAACAGGGACAGCAGAAGGCCCTGAGATCCTGGGAGGAATGCAGTGGGGACACAGCAGTGTCCCAGCTTCTGCAGCAAAACCCTCCCCTTGGGCTCCTGCATTTACTCCCCTCATTATTTTTGTTGTTGTTGTTATTGTTACTGAAAAGCAAAAATGCTTGCAAACACTATAATCAAGCAGCTTTCACAACTGGAAAATGCTTCCAGCAGACCCAAGCAGCAGAAACTGCTTTCATTACCACTCCTGTATCTCCCGCAGATCTGCAGAGCCACGGAGCATCTTGTTAGCACGGTGGACTGAAGAAACACAGTGGGCCAGAAATTACAGCAGTGCAATCAGCCCAGCTTTTTTCCATTACCCAGGCTGAAAAAATGCCAGTAAATAATAAACAATAATGAAAATAATCGGGGGAAAATGGCTAAGGACATTTTCCTAGCCATGTGTAGCACAGTTATCTTGGGAAAGACTTTCCATCCCAACCCAGATGTCAGGTGTTACACCCAGAATAATTCTTAGCAGAGCTAGGCTCAGTTCTCGAGGTCTCAGAGCGAACCAGCAGCAGGGTTATTACTAAGCAATATCCAATTTTCACCTGGGAAGCACCTCAGGTGAGTCAGGAGCTGAGGCTTGGAGCTGTGCTCAGCCAGGGGAGGAGGAGGAGGAGGAGGAGGAGGTGAGACAGCACATGCTGTCCCTGTGCCACCTCCAGCACGAGGATGGGATGCAGACACTTGTCACATCCCTCTCCCAGCCACAGGCAGGAACCTCAGAAGCCACCAAGCCACGTGAGGATGAGGTGGGAGAAAAGCAGCCCGTGGGTTACAGACACCCAAACCTTTCATGTTAAAGAGCACTGTGGCCAATGCAGTGTCTTTGTCCCCAAACATCACCCCATGGGGACTCCAGCCTGCCCCACAACATCCCCTGCCCCTGCCCAGCCACGCCAGTGACCAGCTGATGTTGCCCAGGGGTGTGACACCGCTTTGTTCCACAGCCCCACGCCACACACACAGCTTGCCAACAGCCCTCACCACGTCCTGCAACATTTGGCCACCAGACCTGCTCCCTGTTTGTTTTTCGAGGACAGAGGATTGCTCAACAGCTGCTGTGTGGGCCTGCTTAGCCAAAAAAAAATAATAATAATGCCCTGCCCTAAGCACATCTCCAGGGAGACCAAGTGGGTTTTCCACTTATTTGTACGCCACCAGTAGCACCGGGGGATTCTGCCCAAAATAAAGCTCTTGGCAGAGCAGCCCCACGTGGAGGGAGAGGAGCCACCAATCCAGCAGGGATGGGTGGCTGCTGGGCAAGGAGCAAGGAGGAGGGAGGAGTGTCCTGGCCAGGCTGGGAGGTGCAGCACAGAGCAGCCTAAAGGAGTCACCCAGTGCCACAGTGGGTGGCCACGGCTCAGCTGGAGCTCAGCTTCCAAGGTCTGAGCGACCAAAGGAGGATAAAGCATTTCCCTGGCTCAAAGGGGCCCTTTCCAAGGAAAACAAGGATCCTGGAGGAGCTGCCTGCACTTCCCGGACCGTCCTTCCAGCGGGGTGGGAAACCACTGGGGCCAAACCCAGGAGTGAGCTCAGGAGCCCAGCAGGCTGGGAACAGCAGCACAGGCACTGGGACCACGGGTGCATCCTGATAAATCCAGCCCTGCCCACCAAGGGCTGCTTTGACTCACTGCAGACCGGGAAGGGACCCAGGAATCGCACACACAAGTGGTGGGGAAGGGCCAGGCAAAGCTCCTTTGAACTTCACAAGCCCCTTAACACCTTCTGTTTCAATTATTAGGGGGCAAGATCTTCATTAGAACCATTTTTCTTACATTTCAAGCAGTGGACATCCCCCTCCCCTTTAAAAATCAGGCTGGAGGAACACGCTGCCTACAGACCTGCCTCCCACAGGTCCTCACACCCTCCAGCCCCACTGAGCCAACACTGGTCCCAGGAGCCACTTGATCCCTCAAAATGACACCTTTTTGAATGGCAAAATAATCAAAAATGGGTCTCTAGATTTATAGATTTCCATCCTGGCGCGAGAGGATGGCACAGCAAGTTCTCCACTCTGCTGCCAGAGCTTCAGGCGCAGTGATGTCACTGAAGCTGCCACCTCAGGCAATAAATAAACCAAACCACACACTGAATATTTCCAGAGCCACGCGAGGAGCCACCAAATGGCTCTGCCCTGGTTTGGGGAAGAGACCAACAGTCACTTGAAACTTGTACAAGTACACTTGAACACTGCCACAAGTACTTCCACCACCAGAGTCACATCTGACACCTTCCTGCCTCTGCTCCCCTCCTGGATCCTCTGCTGAGGAACCCTGGGGCTGCCTCACCTGGGCCCTCCTTCAGGCTTGGGGTCAGGTTTGCACTGGCCCTGTCTCATCCCCGTTGCACAGACACAGCAGAGCAGCCCCGAGCTGGCTCTGCAGACAGCGAGTGCCAGAGTACCTGGTGTCGACATCAACCCCCCCCAGAAACGCACAGAACACTTCAAAGGTTTTATGAAGGAAATAACGAGCCTCTCCTCCTAAATTAAAATCCTTTTCTTCCCTCTTCCAACACAGCAGGACTTATGCTATCCCTGAGCCCGATAAATAAAAAGAGCTTTCATGTCCAAAAAAAGCCGTGTATTTATGCAGGTATCTCGAGCAACCCCTTAAAATATTCTTTTAATTAGCAGAAGTTTCCAAAGCCTGAAGTTACACCCCAACTTCCTTCGTGTAGGTGCACTGTTGCCAAATTTAAGGTAACACCACGCTGAATTTTTACGGTGCATCCCAGAGAACATGAGCCCTTGGCAGCCTCCAGGAGCTCCCAGCAGGACGTGATGCAAGCCATGGATTCCAGTGGTGAGAAAGACAGGGATGAGGAGAAAGCAGCCCCATATTGTAGCAATCTTCCCAGTCATTAATTGCATCCTGCTGGCACAGCCTTCTCCTGGTCTGGTCCTAAAACATGTCAAACACTTCCCTCCTCAGGAACACTTGTTAAAGAGGCTTTAACCTCTTCCCTCCTGAGCCCCAGAGGCTGCTGAGGAGCAGGGAAGGAGCTGGAAAGGAGGTCCAGGGGAGCAGCACTCAGAGGTCACCAGCCAGCGTGAACCCCGAGTGCCTGACTTCCTTCTCTTCCCAGAAAATGGGGAGGGCAGGGGGGCAGGGATGAACACTGGTGGGAATCCTCTCCTCCTCCCCAGCTTTGGGAGGATATGGGCCCGGCTGGGGGTCGTCCAAGATGAAAGAGCATTTGACATTTTCAGACCAAAGGGTCTTATTTTTATTTTATTTTTGAGGGCCACATGCGGTCAAACGCCTTTAATGGTGCTAGAAACAGATGGGCCACCGTTTTCTTTGCTCGTCCAGGGTGCCAGACATAAAAAATACCACTGAAAAAATGAGAAATAAAAGTTTTCCCTTTTTCCTTTCCCGTTTCTGCTCCTTTCTGGCTCCTGGAAACTGAGACTGGACAAGGAGGTGAATCATTCCACTTGGGTATGCTGGGGGTGATGAGACAGAGGGGAAAAAATTATATATATATATATATATATATATATATGTATTTAGTATGACGTCACATCTTCAGCCAAAACCTGACATGTGCTAATGGAGTTCTACCAAAATCCATAATACATCACATCCCTGTCAGCAGCACATTTGGGGGAAACAAGAACTGCTCAGAAGCTGGGCCCTGAAGGAGGTGTTAATCCATCTGAAGCCTCCCACAGCCTCACCTGAGAATCCAGACCCCCTTCCCTCGGGGTACTGCAGCTCCCAGGTCAAGGGTACCTCAGGCTGGGCTCGTTCTGCAGGAAACCCAGCCCACCTCAGGATGGGGAGAGACCCAGGGAGAAGAAATCCCGTCCCACAGCCCTGGACAAGCGTGGCAGGGGGGGAATGTCACTGTGGAAGATGTTGGGGGACATTGGGGTCCGTGCCAGCCCTACAAGCACCGGGGGCTGAGAGCCCTCCACTCTTCCCAGCTCTGCTGGGGTCCAGCCAAGCTGCAGAAAAGCCAAACTGACCTAAATTCTTGCCTAATCAGTGCAAGGACCTTTGCCTGCCCAGTGCGGAGCCCGCAGCCGCTCCGGGCCCCAATTCCACCTGGGATGCTCCGTCAGGCACAGCTCCAGCGCCCGCCTTTCCCTCTGCCCTTCCCTGGCAGGCAGAGCCTGTTTTTTCCCCCCGCAGCAGGAGCCCAGCAGCCCATTAGACAAGGCCTGATTGCTCCTCCTCACCTCCCCCGTGACACAATCGAGTGCGCATACAAGGCAGAACAAAACAGTGACAATTGGTGACAAATGGACTGCACAGCATCCCGTGGCCCCGTCGCCAGGGAGACCCTGGCCAAGCATGGGCGGCCGATTGGGGATGGCAGAGGGGACACAGGTGCTGGGAAGGCGGCCCCGACCCATCTGCGGGTGGAAGCAGAGCCGCCCTGGGCTCTCCCGACCCCGGCTGAGGGACCAAGGACTGCAACCCATCAGGCCCAGCCCAGGCTCTGCCTCTTCCCCCACCGCCGTCCCCCTTTAATAAGGGTAATTTTCCAGAAGTATTTTCCCAGGTCACAGCAGTGGTTTGACAACAAACAGAAAGGGAAGGGTTTAACCGTTGCCGTTACCGGCCCGGGGAGCATCCCCAGCTCAGTCCCAGGGCCAGAGAACACGGCCCTGAGCTGGACAGTGTTTCACAGCCCTGCTCTGCCAGGGAAGGAACCCAAGCCAACAGGGGCTCGCTCCCAAGCTCTGCTGGCAGGGCCAGGAGTCTCTTCCGGGAACATCTTGGAATGACTCAATGCCTTTTACTTTCAATGCAAGTGATGTCAATGCCCCGCCGCCGGCGTGGAAGCACTTCAGGCTCACGCAGGGCTGCCGACATTCTCCAGCGCTCACAGCACCAACAAAACTGGACCAGTGGTTTCTAAAACTCAGCCTTCCCTCCTCCACAGCAGCAGCAGCAGCAGCAAACGCTGCCCTGGCTCGGGCGGGTTTGAGTCTTCCCAAGGAATTAATTACCTGCAATGGACACCCCTTCACCTCACGGTTATGGCTCAGTGGGCATTCAGTCAAAGACTGGACTTGAAGATCTTGGAGGTTCTTTTCCAACCTTAGTAATTCTTAAAAAAAAAAAAACAGCCACAGAGCAGAGACAGTCCCTGGGAAACGCCTTTGCCTCAGACAAGCAGGACTGTACCTCTGCAAGGTGGTGCTCTCCAGCCCCCTGACTGCAGCGGCCCTCAGGAGAGGTGCAGCTCGAGCATCCTCACACAGCCTACGTGCCTTTGGGCTGTGCCTCCTCCCGGGGCCCCCCCTCTCCCCGTCCCTCTATGCGGTGCAGGTGGGCAAGAAAGAGTTAAGGCTGCAGCTGCCAGCCCCGGCGGTGCGGAGTTATGCTCAAACTGTTCCCACTGCTGCATGAAGTCAGCTGTCATTAGGGAACAAAGGCGCCCCGGAGCAGCTCAAGTTGTGTCACACTCGGGAGGCGCGGAGACTGCTCCCTGATTAGGATTTCTAAATCAGTCCCATCGAGGCCACAGAATAAAGCCGCGGAACAATGAGCGGGGGCACATTCACACAAGCAGCGGCCCCCGCCGCCCTCCCCACCCCCTCGCACGCTTCTCCTCCCGCCCCGGCCCCGCAGCACTTCACCTCCACCTCCCGCTGGGGGACCACAGCTCCTGCTGCCCCAGCCCTGCCTCCCCATCCCTCGCTTGGGACACTTTTTTAAGCCACCAAGGTGGGGGCATCTCCTCAGTGGGGGCCGCTCGGCCCAGGAGCCACCAGGTCTGTTCCCCGAGGTGCCCACCCTGGGGCAAGGCACAGAGGCTGATGGAGGAGGCAGTGCCAGGCCCTGCAGCTTCCTGGCACCTTTTCCGAGCAGCCAGCCTGGAGCAGCTTCCCCACGGCTGGGGAACCATCCCCACTGGCCTGCCCTCAGCGCTGACCGTGGTAGTGGTGGCCACACGGAGCATCACCCACCCCCTCATCCCTGTGCTTGCCCCACAGAGGTTTTCTCTTTCCTGCCAAGCAAGACTTTGTGCACACAGAAAGAGCTGGGAGGGAGCAGACCCTGCTGCTGAACTCATCTCAACAGACTCACTCCATGAGCACACAACTTCTCCCACTGAGGGCTGGAGGGAGATGTTGGTTTGGCTGGTGGGCTCTGTAAAAACTGCAGGAATTCCAGCACGAAATGATGCAGCACAAGTCAGAAAACCTTGAGGGAAACCACGACAGTCGTGAATTTGGGACATTAAAAAGCCATAGGCAAGAATTAAGTGGTAATTGATGCTGTTCTTGGCTCCAAATCTGCCTTTGCTCATGACATTGGCTTTGTCAATTAGGAGCTCTTTGCCTCAGTCCTTACCACGTGGAAAGAGGAGGTGACCCTATAAGTGGTTACTTCCCACAAATCCAAATCCTCACAATCAGGATTCCCACAAGGAACGACAAACACGATGGGACAGTTCTCCCATCACTCTTGGTTTCTCCAGAGCTGCAACTGGCTGAGGCACCTGGAGGTCTCCACCTGGGGGGGGTTGGGATCCAGGCTGTGTTCCTGGTCCCGTGGAGCCTCTAGGCCAGCCCAAATCCTACACCTGTGCCGTCAACCCAAACTCCCAAACGTCCTTGCTTGGAGAGCTCCCGTCTTCTCCACGCAAAGATCCATCCCTCCATCCCTGCACAGAGCCAGAACAACTGCACCTCTATCCCCTTTTGCCCTCCTTTGGATTTAGGAAGAGACAGGGGGATGGGAGACGAGAAAAGGGTCGGGAATCCACCACCCCAAGGGTTGGATCTCTGAACCTGCAGCGAAAGGGCGGCGGGCAGCGGGAGGGCGGCAGCCAGCAGGTGCAATGAATAAATATCCCGGCAGAAATCAATCTGGAGAGGGGGTGGGGGGGGAAGAGAAGGAATATAGATATCGGGCATCCCACCCCCCGCCTCCAGCCCCCCGGCAGGACACGCACGCAGACACACACACACTAATCCGGGGGATTTGGCCGTCATATGACATGCCCGGTCCGTCCGAGGGAGGGGATTTAAGGCACGCCTCTCCTTTCACGCCAGGAAAGGATTTTCATCTCTCAAGAGCACAATGAGGGGGGAAGGAAGGAGGAAAGAAAAAAAAAAAAAAAAAAAAGGGGGGGGAAAAAAAAAAAAAAAAAAAAGAAGAAAAAAAAGCCAATCAAGCCGGGATCAGCTGTGGGCTGGGCTGCTGCAGGTCTGCCTGTCCCAGAGGGGGGTGCGGGGAGACATATTGGGCCGTGTGGGAAACCCACAGTCTCAGCTTCTCACACATTGTTCTCCTGCCCGGCTCCCCCCAGCCCCCAGCCAAAGCCGTTAATGCCACAAAAGATACTTTGCCCATTGTGCCGGGGACAGCTGAGAGGATAGAGTTAGCCTTACACAGCTTTCCTGCCTCCCTCTCCCGCTGGAGAGGGGAAGAGGGGACAGAGCAATCAAAATGGAGAGTTTGATGCTCACCATACAAAAGAATTAAATCCACTTAGGCCCCTTTCTCGCTAATCTCGGACTGTGGGGGGTTAAATATGGTTACATTTTCATTAGGTACTAATAGCAAAAGGGCAGCTAATGGTAGCACAGCCCGCCGCATTGTCATGCAGATGGATCCCAAAAGGGCTCCCCGGCCCGGCTGCGGCGCGATGGCATCCCCGGAGTGGGAAATTGTGTCACTCGGCATTGTCGGCGCTGAATTCCCTCAATGGGAAAAGTCATGTTTCCTCCGCCGAAAGGAAACAAGTTAAAGCGCCCGGGGAGGGGTGGGTGGAGGTGGCGGGGAGGCACCTGGACCCTCCGGCAGAGCACGAACGCTCCGCCACGGGGCGATGCCCGGGGCGAGGGGCTGCTGCAAAAAGGACCGCCCGAAGCGATCAGCCCGTTGGATCGGGAATGCAGGCGGCTCCAGCCGCCAGCGCAGCTCCTGCTGCCCGGGTGCCGGGAGGATGCTCATCCCCCTTGGTTCGGCACTGGGGGTGCACGGGGCAGGTCCCTGCTCCAGGGACACCTCATAGTGAATTTGGACAATATATATTGTGCAGGGGATATTTTATAGGGTGAGAGCACTCTGGGCTATTTTTTCTTGGGGCGTTAGAAGAGAGACCCACAACCCACCCAGTCAGTGAGGTTCTGTCCTTTCCCCCGGAGCGACTGGCACGAAGGTAAAAACCCAGCGGCACAAGCCCTACAGACAGACCGAGGACAGACAAACCCCCCATCTGCACAACACTCAAGTGCAAACCTCCTGACAATCTCTGACACCACGTCTGTCTTGCCTGACTGCCAGAGCCCAGACCTGAGCCAGATTCCCTGCAAGCGTTGCTGAGTTTTGCAAGCTTCGAGTCCTGGGAGAGTCGCGTTTTCAGGCTTCTCTCGGTAACCCTCACACAAACCCAAGCCCTGACTCTGAAAGCTGAGCTCCCTGATGCTCTGGAGCCAGAGCTTTCAGGGAGAAAGCCAGAGCAGGGGAAGCCATGAGGGTTGGCTTCCTGCAGGACAGCACATCACACTTGGGTTCTCTGGTGTCCCACAGGCCTGAGCTGAACTGTGGCTGCACCGTTTCCTTCAGCAACAACTTGAATAGGACCTGCCCTTCTACCTTCATCCATCTACACACACCCTGCTGGAGCTGGGCGTGTTTCACGCCTCTGACATGGTGGCAAATCTTGTTGACGCTGCCCAGAAAGACTTAAAAGTTTCTTGGGAGCGAGAGGGGCAGATGGATGGATGGACAGCACGTCTCCAACCCCGCTTCCCTAGGAAAGCCTCCATGGAATAGCCTGTTGTGCAAGAGCCATGATAACATCTTGACAGCTTGCACCGATATTTCTCTGGGTTTGGGGAGAGCTGTTGGTGTTGCAATCCAGGCTCAGGGTTAAGGGCTGGAGTTCTGGAAAGCTCATCCCTGCGAGGAGTGTCAGGGAGAGGCGTCACGTCCTGCGGGCACCCAGGAGGGGCAGGAGCCTCCTCGGAGAGCGAGGCCGTGAGGCTGCCCTGGAGCTGCTCCAGCAGCTTACGCAGCTGATGATCTGTTCTGGCCCAAAATGTTTATTGTTTCCCAGCAAAGCTGTACCAGAGGCACAGCAACACCACAGAATACAACACTCGGAGGTTAACACGTGTTATTTCTCGCTCCTGTGCCTCAGGACTTTCCGGCACTAACAGTTAGTCGTGTTTGCTTCCTTCGACCCGATAAGAGGAAAAACAGGGGAGGGGGCAGACACTGAACCCCTCCCCCCCCAGCAGTGGGGACCACTTGCAAGGGGAAGCTGCTTTGGGAAACCCGGCCACGTCCAGAAATTACAACCGGTCTCGGCAATTAGGAGAAGTAAAACATTAAAAAGCGCGAGGCGAAGTGCATTTGCATGCTAAAAGCTCCCTTCGTGGGGCTGGGAGGCCGTGTCCAACAACAAAGCAGAAAACTTCCCTCTCCAAAACTACGTAAACCCTGCTGTCACCCCCCCCTCCTGGTTTGTGGGGTGCAGGGGCGACAGTGGGTGCAGCCACAGCCCCCTGCACCACACACCTTGGGCTGGGACACGGGTGGGGGCTGAGCTTGCTGGACAAGCAAGGCTGGAAGGGTTAATAATCCATGCTCAGTCACCCCCATCCAGCACAGCCCCCGGGGCTTCCCGGGGAGGGGGGCACTGGGAGGTTTCCAGGCAGGGCGGATTTGCTGGGAAGTGGTTTTCCCGCAACCCCAGCCTGGTTCCGCAGAGCGCTGCAAAAACAGGTTCGTGCTGAATTCAGAGGCTGCAGGTGGGCAAGTTACCTGAAGGCCATGGGGAGGAAACTCCTACATCCGCTCCCAGAGCACGAGCCTGCAGCCAGCCAAGGAGGGAGGGAGCAGGGGAGCCTCCTCCAGGGTAGGGTTTCACCTGCAAACACAGCTCCCTGCTCCAAACATGAGCTGACAGGAGGCTCTGAGCCAAAGCCCTGGGAGAGGCAAACTGAAAATCCCAGCTAGAGCTTTCTGAACCTCTAATGAGGAGCGGGGAGAGAGCAGGGCTCTCCCTGGGGACAGCCTGCAGAGAGCAGGAGTGTGTCCCACCACCATTTCCCCATCCCCATCTCATCCATCAGCACACCACGGGTCTCTGATCCTGTAATCCTGCCCTGTGCTCCTCCTCCTCTCCATTCCTTTCCCCCACGGGTTTAAAGTGGGATCCCAACCAGTCTCAACAGCACTGCAGGGATGAGGCACCACCTTGCTGGTAGAGCCTTTTCTTGCACAGGGCTTGAGTCCATGACCAGAATTCATGGGGTTAAAACAGCCCCTCAGAGACCTCCCACAGCACCCGGAGCTCTGGGAATGCCTGGAGAAGTAACTGGTTGGTGGGGCACCTGAGAGCAAACGGGGGTAGGAAAATAAGGGGCACATCCAAGACTTGTTCCATACAAATCCTGCACAATTTCTGTTTAGGTCAGAGGGGAAGACTTGCAGATGATGGGTTGGGGGAGGAACAGAGCTCTTTGTACTTGAGAAGGTACAGGACAGTGACCCTGGACATCCAGCCTCCTGGTTCTTGGCTACTGCAGAGCAGCAGTCAGGATGAAATGCATGAAATCACCTGACAGCCCATTTCCCAAAGGTATCAAATCTCAGATTTCATGGCAGAAATGGCAAAGGATTAGTCTTTAAGTCAACAATGCTACCAGCCTTCACTCCAGGACACCACAGCAGTGGGGTGATACCTCCTCGCTCACACCTCTCCCTCCCAAGACCAGTTTGGAAGACAGAAAACACCCCTACAAGCTGGTGCTGAAACGGGCAGGAATGGCAAAGCAACATATAACTCCATACCAACACATATTTTTATCAAGCAAAGGCATTTCTGGTTTCAGTGCCAAAGAAGGGCTTTCCTCGAGGAAAGCTCATTAGGAGTCCTCACCAGCTCAATACCTTTCCCCTCAATAATAATAATAATAACTAATAACTAATAAATAATAATAATAATAATAATAATAATAATAATAATAAAACAAGCAGGGCATGTTCTTTTGAAGGTTGTTTCCTTTCATCCCTTCTCCACCCCCTGCTGATCTCCTCTTTGGGGCTGGCTGTTTCCTCCGGCTGAGGGAGCAGGCTGGCAGCCAGCAGCTCCTGCCAGGGCCCCCGGACACATCCCAGCCCTCCTGCCTCAGCCCAGCCCTGCTCCATCACCTTGGGGACAGATCTGGAGCCCCTGCCAGGCGACAGGGCCTGGGAAGTGCAGCCCACCCCAATCAGAGCTCCCATCCCCAGCACAGCAATGGGCAGAGGCGCTGCTGGGACCTGGGAAAGGCTGGGTGGGGAGGGAGGTTTCTGCCCAGGGAGCACAAAGGAGAAGGGCTGGAGGAGATTTGGGGTTTTTTTCCTTTGATTTTTTTTTTTTTTTCAGGCAGTAGTTCCTAGTTCCCTACAGGACACACAGCTCCCCATCACAACCTTGACCCTCGTGGGTGAGAAGTGGACTGGGCTGGATGCTGAACGTGGTCACTGCTGAGGTCTCTGCCAGTACAAAGGCACAGACAGTCTTTGCCAGCTTGTTGGGCTCAGTTTTTGCCCAGCTAGGCTTATCTGGCAGCAGATCACATATGGAGCCACATCTTAGAGCTGGGCACCAAGGGAAGGTGATGGAGGTGGATTCACCAGAGAGGGGATTTGGTCTGCAAAGCCTCTTCCACCCCATCTCCCCAGTTAACCCTGCCAGGGGTTGTGCCTCAACCCACTTCACTTTCAGCCCTCCCCAGCCCCAGGAATGGGAGGCCATCAGGGCTGAGGAGTGATTTAACACTTTATCCGTGTAAGAGTTCATCACATAAACGTCCCAGCACCAGCCCGGAGAGGGCATCCTTCATTGAGATCACAGCAACCCCAGCAAGGCTCAGCCAGGCTGGGCATCCCAAAGGAGGCTCTGGAAAACGCACAGGGTCTGATTGTGTTCTGCTCAGCCTCCCCTACAGGAGGGGGCAAAGCTCCTGCTCCAAACTCATCACGTTCCCCGTGGGTTTTACTGCTTTGAGTGACAGGGCAAGGCAGAAAGCAGCTCAGAGCCAGGGCAAGAGGGAACGACAATCCCTGCCCACAGAGCGCTTATAAACCCAAGAGGCAAGATGTAACACGAGGAGGGAACAGGCTGGAGGCCAGAGGGGATGCCAGAAAAATGGCAGGGTTTAGAACCTCTTTGCTGTGGGCACAAAGCACCGCCCATCCCTGCCCTGATCAGAGCAAATCCTCCCCAGAGCAAACCCGAGCAGCAAAACCCGTCCATGGTGAAAACGAGGTGGGGAAAAAGGGTGGCTGAGCCCTGGGCACCCCATGGGGCTGGAGGCAAAGGACTGTGTCTGGCCAGAGGGTTCAGTGGCACAGCCAGAAGTGGACTCCTGGTCTCTCCAAGCTTTGATGAAAAGACCCCTCCTCTCCTCTCCCACTGCTGCCTGCAGAGGAAGGTAAAATCCTCCTTACACCAGCCAGGCTCAAATAAATCCAATTGCTCCCCACAGCACGAGTCTGTCACCTCTCCTTCCTCTTCATCCCACCTTCCTCACTTCACTCAAATCCATGATGGCAAAGAAGGGATTTCTTTCCATCCCTCCCTCCAAGAAGGAAAGAGAGGAAGGGTTGGGGGTAGGGGGGGAAGAGGCATCTTATTTCAAATAAACAAACAAAATTTATTGCCGGACACATCCCCGAGCCCTTGGCCCAGGCTGGCAAACTGCAGCTCCCATGTAATAAGCACATAAATAAAGTTTACAGCTAAACTGGCCTGACCCAGTATTGCCCCGAGGTGCAGGAGCAGTATCTTGTCATTAGTATGCAGAACACATCCCCTTAATGTCTGCTCATTTGTTCTCAGCCCACTCGGCTCTATAAATCTCCACAAAAGGGCAAGGCAGGGCTGTGGGGGAGCCGGGGGAGCGGGGCCAGGGGGATGGGAATCGCCTACTGTCCCTCTTCCAGCCGGAGCAGGAATTTCACTGCCCTTCCTTCCAGCAGAGCCCACGAGAGCAGCGGGACGGGCAGATGGGAAGTGCCCGCACTTGCCTGCCCCGGGGGAAGGGAATAAACTGGTGCTTGAGTGTCAGCACAGGGCAGGACACCCCTGGCTGCTCCCAGCTGGGGCACAGACTCAGCTGAGATGGACACAAACACAGCTTGGAAGGGGAAAAGGAATTCAACAATATTTCCCCCACGCACACCCCTCGAAGCAGCCCACCCACGTCACATTCCTAACCCTTATTCCTGGTGTTCAGGATCTTCTGCTGTCACAGCAAAGCTGTCACACCAGAGGTGTCAGGCTGATCCAGGAGATCACAGAATCATGGAATGGTTTGGGTTGGGAGGGACCCTAAAGAACATCTCATTCCAACCCCATCTCTGTCCAGGTTCTGCCAGCCTGAGCGACTGCAGGTGAATTATTGCAGGCATGGAAAAAGGCAAAGCCAAACAAGTTCCCTGGTGCTTTTCTGCATACCCAGATGGACACCTAGAAACACCAGAAATCACCACTTTCCTCGTTTGCAACAAGAGAGTCAAAGCCATGTGCTCTTTCAGATTCCAAATGCTTTAGCTTTCCCTTCTCTCAAATAATGATGTTTGCAGACACACACTAACTTCACACGTTTTGGAATTCTCTCAACACTTGAAAACACAGGGGATGTGGTGCTCCAGCAGCCCACAGGCACCTCAGCCTCCAAAACGAGAGAGAAATAAGACACATCTTGAGCAGGAGATTTAAGGGCAGAGACTAAAACTGAAGACTGAGATCTGAAGTGCAACTCGGAGCTATAGATGATTTGCAGATTTGAGCCCAGGTGTTGTAACCCCGCTCCCTGCTTGCCCTGCACAGACAGGGTGCCCGGAAATTTCCCTTTTAATCAGCTGAATCAGCAAATCCCAGCAGTTCCCACAGCCCTTGCTGCAGATTGGCAAGCGAGGAGCAAACACTGCCACGTGCTGTCGGGACCAGGGCGGAGGGGCGAAGCCTGAGAACATTTCTGATGTCAGGAGCAATCAGGAGGTGCTGGAAGGTTCCAGGGAGACAAAACCGTGATGAAACCACCAGATATTTCACGCCACAGCCTGGGAGCCCAGAGGTGTCACCCACGTTCCTGCACACGAGCGAGGTTCTATTTAAACACAGCCAGAGCCAGCGGATCTGCGCTGGTGGAAAAGCAAGTGACCTCCCTCACCCCAGGTGGGAAACCAGCACATCCGGCCTCTGATGCATCTCTCAGACTCTCCAGCTCGCTGGGTGATAACTGACATGCCATAAATCTGGTTTTTAGCTCGCCTAATTACCAGTGTTGTGCTCATGAGTAACACGAGAGCGTTTAAGGTGGGGCACATTTTCCATTACAGAGCCCCGGTTGCACGAATTCCATGAGAAGTGTTTTCTGCTGGATGCAGCCGTGACAGAGCAGAGCCACGCTCCAGACAGAGCTCCCTAACCCCAGAACACCCCTCCAAACCAGAGGAGCCTTCCCCCTTCAGCAGAGGGGCTCCTTCTGCAGGAGAACACCCCGAGTCACCCCCGCCAGCGCCGCGGA